GCTTAGTAGCGGCATTGAAAGCCTGGAACTTGCACTTAAAGTGAAACGGAATCTTGCATTGCGAGTGTTGTGTGTGTGCATCTGGCAACATCGGCGAGTCAGCAGAAGTCAAGCCAAGGCGAGTCAAGCTGGTTTTACCGAACCGTTTGCCATTCCGGGGACTCGTCATAAACCATGTGCCTCTTGTCTAACTCTTCTTTTCTGCATGGCCAAGTCAGCCGCCCGAATAAAGCTTTGGGTAACGACGAGAATGAAGAACCTCAAACTCCGAGGCACGCAACCACACTTTTTGGAGCAACTACAGCTTGAGAGTGTTTTCTGAAATCAAATAATCTTATCTTATCGTGGGAACTTGGCAACAACGAAAAGGATCAGCCTAACGTTGTCATCATGGGGCGGCTGGGACATCTAGAAGAGTTCGACCCAGAAAGGGTTGAAGCGTGGCCCCTGTACCAGGAGCAACTAAACTTTTTCTTCATTGCGCACAACATCGTCAAGGGGTCCCCAAAACACGCAGTCCTGTGTAGCGTTTGTGGACCAACAATCGACACCGTCGTATGCTCGTCGTGTGTGCCGGTGGACTGCCTATGCAGACATTGTCGGAGTTCACCGCCCACTTCACACCGTGCCTGTCAGTGATTGTTCAGTGCTTTGTGTTTCATAAGCACAGCCAACAGCCTGGAGAAACTATCGCGAATTTCGTCACCGCCCTGCGCCGCTTCCCCAAACACTGCGACCTTGGTGAGACGTTGTCAGACATGCTATGGGACCGTCTGGTGTGCGGTGTCCTGGTCAAAAGGGTGCAGCGTCGTCCCCTGGGCAAACCAATGTTGGAGTTCAAAAAGGCGTTTGAAACTGCAAATCCTTGCCTTTGTAGGATTTACAGCAACGACATTGATTTCCGTCAACAGCTTAAAGGGGCACTCAAGTAGATTCTGAGATTCTCTACTTATTGACATAACTCAATCTATGGGCTTTAAGCATAGTAAAAAACCAATAGTTTAAAATCGTAAATTCAAGGGCAGCCGATTTTCGTATTAAAAATCCAATTAAAGATTGTGGCACGCCACCTTTTCTGTGCCGTGGCGCAAAACACCAGGGGGTGCCACCGGACAGGAAGGCAGCAGGGGAGGGCACACAACAGCCAGTCACGAGTGACGGCTTCTCGGCGGACTGATTTTTCAAAGGCGCACATATTCAAAAATTTAGTCTGCCGGGGAGCCATCATTCGTAATTGGCTGTCATGTGCCCTCGCCTGCTCCCTTACCGTCCGGTGACACCCCCTGGTGTTCTGCACCACGGCACAAAAAGGAGGGCATGCCACAATCTTTGATGGGATTTTGAATAGGGAAATCAACCGCCCTTGTATGTAATTTCAGGTTTCTTAGGATGCTTGGAGTCCATAGAATGATTTATGACAATAAATAGACAATCCCAGAATCCACCTGAGTGCCCCTTTAAAACGATGACTGCCTTTTTTATTGTAAGTAGCTACCCACTCGGCCTTTTGCGCAATGCGAGCAGTCGAGTCTCTAACATTTCGCGGCACGACGCCCTATTTCCCCAACCAAGATCTAAACCACCGTGCAACCCCCTCATCATCACGTTCCACCCCTCCATACCCACGCTCCGCAAACTAATCATGGACGCCACTTCCCACCTCGTAGACTCTACAGTTATTTGTAAAGCACCTGCCCTAATTTACCATTATCAGCCCAACTTACGATCCCTTCTAGTACGCAGCAACCACTCCGAAACCCCCTCATCTTTACATTCCCTTTCTCCATACCCAGGCTCGGAAAACTAGTCATGGAAACCACTTCCCACCTCGTAGACTCTACTGTTATTTCTAAAGCACCCGCCCTAACTTACCGTTGTCAGCCCAACTTACGATCTCTTCTAGTACACAGCAACCAGTCCGAAACCCCCTCATCTTTACGTTCCATCCCTCCATACCCAGGCTCGGCAAACTAATCATGGACGCCACTTCCCACCTCGTAGACTCTAAAGTAATTTCTAAAGCACCCACCCTAACTTCCTATCGACAGCCCAACTTACGACCCCTTCCAGTACGCAGCAACCAGTCCACAAAGCCTCAGACTTTGCTCCCCGGTACCACGCCGTGCGGCACTCCGACATGTCTTGCATACAAACACACCGCATCTGAGATATGATAATGACCACTGTGCCCAGTTACACCAAAAGCTCACCGTCGCTAAGACTGCTCAAGTCCCTTCTCTCATCTTTTTATTCTCACTCAAGCAAACTTGTCGACAAAATTCTTGAAGTCAACTTGTGTCTCTATGCCGATGGTCTCGCCTGTAAATCAAGGAAACTAAACACCCTCTTGCCCCAAAATGATGAGGCTGCCGTCCAACGCAATGATGATGCCACCAAACCAGACAATTTACCCCTCACTGCCCCTGAACGCATTATCTTATCGAAGGGCTTGTCCTTCGTCCCTGCACTTCAAAGCCGACCTGACCCTTTTTGTTTTTACATGTGGACAGCGAACAATTTTTCCGATGCCTACTTTTAGATGCCCACTTCACCCAGCATCCATCTAACTTCAACCGCACCATATTCGACACATTAACCCAAAGACTAGTTACCTGGACCCTGCATCCCGCCAAACACCCTGAAACTGACAGTTCAATCAAAGCATGTCGTAGCATCCTTGTCAACTCGTCTAGCAAACTAATCTCTAAATACCGCAACACAACCCAACAAGAAGTTACCACTCTAAAATCCCTTCGAAACCGCACTGACCTCGTAACCAAGCCAGCCGATAAGGGTGGAGCCATGGTAGTATGGCGCAGTGATCTCTACTCTGAAGAGACTCTCCAACAGCTCTCCGTTTCCGATTTTTACCAACCCTTTTCCTCCGACTCCACCACTGCCTTCCAAGATACAATTTCAGCCACCTGTAAGGCTCCTAATCGAAACCAACTCCCTTCACCCCGCTGCAAATTGCCTAATTGTTCGTCATCCCTGCGCTGCCTCATTCTACCTCCATCGCGAAATTCACAAAGCTGGATCCCCTGGCCGACATATTCTGTCCACCATATCCTGCCCCACCTCATCTCCGCTTTTGTTGATTCAGTCCTTCAGCCTATTGTACAAAACCTGCCCAGTTACGTTAAAGACACAACAGGCATCCTCCAACGCCTATCTAATCTGGCCCTGACTCCGGACACTATCCTCTTCACAATGGACATCGCATATCTCTACACGGTAATTCCTCACGCCGAAGGACCACAGGCTCTCTCACACTTTCTTGATCAGCGTCCCTCTCAAAATCCCCCGTCTCGTGCCATAATCCGCATCGCCGAACTAGTCCTAATACTAAACGCCTTCCACTTCAACTACTACTTCTATCGCCAAAACTGTAGTGTAGCGATGGGCACTAAGATGGGTCCCTCGTTTGCCAACCTTTTTGTCGACTACGTCGAGCACTAGTTCTTTAATTACTTCCCACACACGCACCCAAAATTCTACGGTCATTATATTGACGACATCTTTGGTTTTGACCCCCCTCCTGTAGTCGACCGCTTCACCAATGCACTCTAACGCTTAACGCTCCCTCAAGTTTACCTCACTGATATCGAAATGTGCTGTCAACTTCCTAGACTTAAGTCACTAGTGACGGTCACAGGTTCCACACCTCTGCACACCATAAACCCACCGACAGCCATAGCTACCTTCTTTACTCCTCGATCCATCCTCGATTCCAAATCAACTCTATTCCCTTCTCACAATTCCTTCGCCTCCATAGGATTTGCAGCGACGACATCGATTTCCGTCAACAGCTTAAGGCGATGTCCGCCTTCTTAACTGAACCTAGTTACCCACTCGGCCTTCTGCGCAATGCGAGCAGTTGCTTCTCCAACATTTCGCGGCACTGCTGCTGCGACTCGCATCTTCCAAGTGCTCTAGTGGAGCATGTCGGGCTGCTTCAACATCGAGCCGAAGCAGCTTCTACGGGCATGTGGCCTCTTCCTTTTCACTCTTGTCAGCTCAGCTGCACATTACTGCTTGTGCCGGCCCTTATACCACTGCTTCGTCATTGTTCTGGAACTCGTGGCATCATCACTGACGTTGCCACTGGTCTCGGGTATCTTGGGGTCAATACCAGTGGCAGCCCTGATGCTGGCTATTGCACTGTCATCATCAGCCCCACACAATTATTTTATTGCTGCTTCTCCAGAAGGTACCTCAAACAGGTTGCTTTCTATGGTGCTTTTGCAATGCACGTCTGAAAACGAGCGAGGAGAATGTCACACCATGGCCATGGCTGCAAAAAAACTGCCACTTGTTATTTAGAGACTGATGCCGGGAACTTGTAGATTTCACTGTAATGTGGCCAGCTCACTTTGCCTACTTGTATGGTGGCCCCCAGCAGCAGATGTTTTTTGGAACATGTAGATATCTTAAGTAGCAACTGTGCAGCAACTGTATTCAATGTATATATGCAATACCTATTAAACAATTTTTAGGATGTTTTGGAATAAAATTGTGCACGTATCATGTAAACACACATAGCATATTTAGCTCTGAAACAGTATGGGATTATCCAACATCAAAGAAAGCTAGAAAAAGAAACATTCAGAGACTGACTTCATGGGGCATTTTAATTTCTTTTTGGAGTATGTCAATGGGAACGTAAAAGCCGGTAAAAAGTCACGGTGGTGAATACCTACACTATGTTTATTAGAACAACAGGGCTTTTACAAGATTTGTACCACTTAAAGAAAAGTTGTATTTTCAAACAAATTTACTACATTGAAGGATTACATCGTAATCGGTTGAGATGTCAGCGGTGCTCTACGCATTTGAGAGGGCATGTAAATCCTTGGAATGCTCGAGTTTGGCACATGCCAGACAGCTCACAACAAAATGGTGGACGAAATTGCGTCAGTGAAAACGCCCTATGCTCCCTAAATACTGCATTTTATGGATTACAGGAAGAAGATGAAGGTCGCTGGCTATTGTTTTCTTACCCTGCATTTTCCGTTGATATCCGAGGCGTAGCGGAGTGTGAAGCTCTGGACGCTACCGACGCAGCTGACGACGAACGCTGCACGAAGTTCCAGGTCGGAGATGACTCTCCTCAGACTAGCCTTCAAGGCGTCGCCAGGCTTAAGCCGCAAAACGTGACACTTGAGAGCAGACGACACTACCGCACGGCCCGCCATTTTGAAAACGCAGCGCGACGAGAGCTCCTTTAGTTGAGCCTCTCAACCGTAAACAGTAGTGTTAAACCTCGACTGCTCGTTCAAAGAGACTTCTGAGTTCCAAACTTACAATGTCCGACGATGATTTACGAGTTCACCGGATTCAACCAACATCTCCCGTTCAAAACACCGAACGTGGCCACTGCTGGACGCGGCTGTTTACAACTTTTATCTGGCGCACAATGTTTCTAGACCGAATTTCTTTTTGGGTAGCGTACGGCTCAAAGCACGTTTTTTATCCCCTTGAAGTAAGGACATTTTATCCCAGTTTTATCCACGGGGAAGGCATCACGCGAATTTCTTGACACGCAACCGCTCATCTTTATGACAACTGCTGGATCGCATATCCCCGCTTGGTCGCTGCAGCGCTCTATGCTGCAGCGTGAGAGCGGCCACCGGACGGCCATATTTCATGTCAACTAATCGCGTTTTTGGAGCGTTGCGGAGGCTGGCGGCAGCGTGCTGAAGACATGTTTTCTACTCGTTCGTCGTTTTTCGCCGAAGAAGTTCTTTACAACCTTATGTAAGCCGTGAGACATGCCATTGAGAACACGTGGAAATTTTTATGGAAGCGCAGTGCTGCAGGAAAAAGGCACAACTCGTTGAAAGCAAGTTTCGCCGGTCTCATGGCGTAATCAAAGCCTCCTTGGCACGCCAAAGCGCTGCGTCTCTTGCGTCTCTGTGCCTTCGCACGCTTGGATACCAATCAAGAATCGACACCATGTGGATGTGTTTTGCGAGTGCGATGTACGTGAAGCCGTGTGCGCCTCTGGAGCAGCGTTTTACTTGACTGTGGCGACTGTATTTGGAACTTGCGGCACTCGCGGTCAAGAAAAGAGCTTGGTCCAGCGTCCAGTGCGCTGGAAGGTACTTCTTTTTTTCGTCGTTAGACGGTTGGACGGCTGTGCCTATTTCGACGTCCACCGTCAAAATATCTGAAAACTTATTTCGACTTCTGTGACGTCACTTTTGTAGAACGTCGAAATAGTGGCTTTATAATTTCGACGTCCTCCTTCAATGCAGCAACGGTAGCAGTAGCAGCCGTGATATGGTCTCGTTTTGTTTGGTTTATGATGGTGTCGCCGGTGTTGTGTCTGCGTTCTGACGAATACTTTCGGTGCTGGTTAGCAGTTCAAATGTCTTATTCAGCGTGTGTGTGTGGGAATGGCTCGACAGTTCGTCCTTTTGGACGTGACACGCCCTGTGGCAATGTTCCGAGCGTTCTGAGCTCGTATCTCGGTACTAGACTCACTTAAATTTTTGAATTCGCAACAAAGGCGAGCTGGAAAAAGATATCTCTCTTTCTTCCCTGCACGTAACAAATGTAAGTGCGTGCACTACGTAACACCGAGATATTTGGCACGCTTTTCGTGCCTTTATAGAGGCTTTACACACGCGCCAGAATACAGTCGCCATTGCTGACCTTCTCTTGTTTTACCGAGATACCGAGCCACTGAAGCGGGTGTTGGCGAGTCTCCAGAAAGGCCAATGCTGGGAAGAAGGACACAATGGAATCTAAGATGGCAAAAACCTGCAGGCTGCTATGGTAATGACGAAGTGAAGAAAATGGAATAAGAGGGAACAAAAACTGAAGGTCAGTTATGGCGGCGCCCATGCACAATTGCTGCAAAGCGTCTATACCGTGCGAGCGCGTCTTCATATGTTGCAATCTCGCTTCGCACCTGGCTCCCGCCCTGTTTTTAGCCGCGTTTCGTGAGTTCGTTGTTTAGAATTTTGTTTGGTTCGTGTATGAGGAGTGGGGTAATTACGAAATGATCAGGATGTTAAATAAAAGGTTGTGAATGCAAACATTGCCTCCTTGGTGTTTCTGGACCGGTGGGAACGAACAAAGGTTCTGGCGCTGTTGTACGAGATACTTGCCGTTTTCAATGAACAGCAAATTTTACGACACAACACTCAGCTCTTTTGTCTACATAAATCACGAAAATCAGCGGTGCCGCATTTTGTGATCTTTAGCACAACCAAGCAAACGTTACTTTCGGCCTGATAGCTGATGTATTTTGAGATCTTTTTGCATTCCACATCACTTAAAAGGTTACAAAAACAGCAGACAACTGCGTGACATTTGTTTTCGAAAAATGCGTGTCGAACCGCGACGCTGGCTGCAAGAAAGATTATATTTTTTTTTGACCGCCACCTTCGACCGCTCCCCAGTCCGGACTCCGAAGATTCGAAGTTCTGAGTTTGAAACGTTAAGATATTGACAAAAATAGTTTGAGAGGGGACGTCAAAATGTTCTTGAATATAATTTAACGTCTTCAGTAAATGGCGTTACGGACGTTAAAATAATATTCAAACTTACTTTGACAGTGGACGTCGAACTATTCACTGCCAAACGCTTAAACTAAATGTGAGGGGCCGAAAGTTTTTCGAATTGAAAATTCGGCGCCGAATTTCGGAATTCGGCAAAGGCGAACTTTTCTAAAGACTCGGCCAAAATACATTGTTAGCACTCTTAAAGAGAAGCTGAAACACTTCTTGAAAAAACGAGTTAGAGGTGAACTCTGGCGTATTTTTGTCCCGTGAATCTGAATATCCCATTCGTTTTTCCTGAAGATGCAACTAACAGCGAGAAAACGCGGAAAACCTCCGACCAGTCGTGACGTCATACTAATCTTTGGGCCGCCAAACGCGCGTCGCTCGTGTGGGCAGCGCGTGCAATGGCAAGCTCGTCAGGTATATCTTGCCGCAATTACGACAGTCTCTTTCTGACCTTTTTGAAAATAGCAAGAGTGCGCGTGCATAGCTTTGACAGGCGCTGAAGATGCGCGAGAGCAGACATTCCGAAAACTCCTAGTGTGACGTCACGCCCCGGGAAGGAGGGGCTTCGGCAGTACTTAAAAAAATAATTCCTGAAGCCTCCGTGCACCAAATTGAAAAGTAATCTTAATATTCCTGATCCTGGAGGTAGAATGAAGGCCATTGAAGTGTTTTTTCTCAAATACAGAACCGCTTCCGTTTCCCTTTAACGTAGATATTTAGTTTCTCCTGGTTAAAAACGGTTTTATGTTTTTTTCTTTCTTAATTTAAATGCAGAATGTAGTGCATATTGACACAGTTATTACTAAATAAGGTGATATTCTACATGATAATTGTATCGGTGTCGTTTTTGTGTGTTTACTAGCAATTTTACACTGACTTCTTGCAGAGGTGGTGTGAAAACGAGGTTGGGTAGCAGCGAGCGCAGTCACGAATCACGATACGAGAGTTTCGGCCTTGAGACCTCATCAGCGCAAGCCTGCCAGGGCCTGTACATTGTTAAAATAAAGGCAATAACACTGCTTTCTTACTTTATCTGGTGGTCACCGTTTCGTGCGCGAAAACGAATGCAACGGTAACTGAGCCTCCGCAAGAGGAGATAACAATATTATCGTAAATATGCATGTTTTTCGATTTGGGTCATCATGACGGCAGCTTTGCATGAAACTGTGCGTCCCATATTTGCAACATCTCGTTTTTAGCCTTTAGAATGCCGTTTTTTTATGTTAGGACAAATACGGACGTTTAAGAAGATGGGAAGAGTGAGGAATGTCGGATGTGCAACATCGAGCATGATACATGATACAGAGATACATGAAAACCGCGAAATAATGGTAATTAAAAAGCAATATTTTGTTTTGGCACAAACTACTTGTTAGCCGAAAGCAGGATTGTTATAATTGCGAGGAGGGCTTTAAAGTAATTTTCAGTCAATGTTTCAAGTCTAACTCGTTGCATCGATGGAAAGGTCAAATCAAAATCACGTCATCCAGAATGCACCGCATCATTTGTCACTTGTGTAGTGGACTGCGTAAATTACTGATCGATCTTCTGTTCTTGACGCAGAAAAGATTGAGCAGAACCACACTCGCAAAGGCTCACAAGTGCACAGTTAAGGCCTGTTCACACATACAGCGGAGAGCTAAATTAGCGCTACGTGAGCGCTCCAAGGAGCGCTCATGTGGCGCTTCCTAGCGCGTGACTTAGTTCTAACACAGCGCGCGATTATTAGCGCTTCTGTAGCGCCTTGTTAGCGCTCCAGTAGCGCCTTGTCAGTGCTCCAGTAGCGCCTTGTCAGCGCTCCAGTAGCGCCTTGTTAGCGCTTCAGTAGCGCCGTGTTAGCGCTTCTGTAGCGCTTCTTGTATACCGCGGTGCTGCGGATTAGCGCGTGCACTGCGGTTCCGGTTCCTGTGGTTGGGTGCAACAGCAGCACTATGGCGGACACATGTGGGATGCTGAAATAGAAACGCAACAAATGCTGTTACATACGCAATTAGTAGACGGCTTAACGTCCAGAAGAGCCTTCTGAGAGTGCAAAATCTTTCGTCACCGAGATACCGACGGGTACCTGGCGAACCTTGTTCCCATGCTGAGGGACGAAAGTTCTTTTGAAGGTGATTAATTTTTAACTGCGTGCCTTTGAAACCAGGGTCACGCATATCGAATAGAAAGCGATGAAGTCGCACCCAATCAATTAGTCGCTCAGAGTCCATGACTCTGGATCGCCTGCCCGACCCTTTGCTTGGAGAGCGGCTGTTTTACTTCCTCTTTCAATGCCAAAGGAAAATGCCAAAGGAAAAACAAAGGAATCGCCGTGCACGCGCTGTTTTGCAGCAAGCACGGCACAAGGAGCGTGAGAGCGCTAACAAAGCGCTTCTGTAGCGCTAACAGAGCGCTAACAAAGCGCTTCTGAAGCGCTAACCGAGCGCTACATCACGCGCTAGGAAGCGCCATATGAGCGCTCCTTGGAGCGCTCACGTAGCGCTAACTTAGCGCTTCGCTGTATGTGTGAACCGGCCTTTACCGTGTTGCCTGCTCCACACCTCGCCGTAAACGCTGGTTGTACTACACTGCACGATGGTAACAGCACGGCGTCCATTTGCAATCCATGCACCGTCGCGTGCTCGCGCTTGCGCAGACATTTGCCGAATTTCTACCGAATCGTTGCCGAACTTTCCTTC